CCCGGCATTCGCTCCCGGCCGGGATGCTCAATCAAAAAAGCTATTTTAAAAAAAGGCGATAAATTTCCCCAAAATAACCTTTTTTTTGAGGAGGGGGGGGGGCCTTAAATCTGATGAATCTTAATGGCTCGACTAATTACGGATTAATTACACTATTTCCCCAATATTGGCTAAAATTTTTGAATAATTAATTCATAATAAAGTTAGAAGCATATTTGGTTGGTAAAAACATAATTAATTAATAAAGATAGATCGGGTTTCAGATTTAAGAATTCGTGTATAAATGAATTTCTATCTATCGTACGTCATAGTTATTTTGTATCTAATTAGAAAAATATTTTTTATTTAGCTATTCTGTCTCTATACAATTCTTCTCATAAACGTATACAGTGAAAAAGAAAGCGTAGAAATTCTACTGCGTTTTTTTTCACGATTTCTCAATGCCTGTTGTCTATTCGTTTTTTTTTTGTACCGATATTCTTCAGATTATTAACAGTTCACGGTTTATTTTCCACATTTGTCTTTACATGGTCTTTCATTCACGCTTTTTTGTGAACGGATTTATGTATGTTCATATAAAAATTTTGATAGAGAAAAATGTGTACATATGTGTGTGCTGTCTTATATCTCTAATCAGACTAATCAATTTACAAAACTTTTTTCACCTTATCAAGGGAGCTATACAAACACCACTATGATATTGTGAAACAGAAATACTAATTAATAATATCATAACAGTAAAGGTCTTAATAAGAGCGATATTAAACTCCCTACTTATTACAATAATTATTTTTGGTTCAAAATACTATCAACGATTATTTATTATTTATATGATTAATGGGTTTATAATTTTTTTTCTACCGATCATACAATATTATTCACACTTTGCATAATATAATAGATAAAAATATTACAAGAGAAGGTCTATGAAAAGAATAACTGAGTAATAATAATTTTCATAGTTTTTTTTTCGATTTTTGTCTTTTACTATGCAAAATGTCAGTAGAATCACGAACATGTCTTTTACTTCACTTTTCAAATATTATCTGAAACATTAGTATGTGACAATTATAAGCGCAGGTAAGCATACTCATTTAGCAACATAAATTAACATCCCCGTGAATGTATTTAATTAACATATTCTTATTTCTTTTCTCATTTTGTTCTTCTGCCTGTTAAAAAGAAAAAAGATTGTACTAGAAGCCAACTATGCTGCGCAGATATCAGAAAGACGATCAAACGGTACATTTTAATGTATTTAAGGAAAAGTAAAATTATTGAAACTATACAGCATAAAAGTTGAATGATTGTCCAATCTTGGATGATATTCTGAAAGAGCAAAAAAATCAATGTCTTGTCTAATAATACATTGTAAAAAGAACAAGTGTCTCAGGACACTTTTTTGGGCGATAAATGAAACACTTTTAATAGTGTCTCACAATGCAGCACTATTTCTGAATGTCGCCAGTAGCTCCAAAAAGTGCCTTTTAACGAGATGCTTTTAAAAAAGATTCATTCATCGCTGAAAAAAGTGCCTCGAAGCACTTGTTCTTCTACAGTATAGGACAAGAGAAAAATTCTGGGAAGTCTTCTCTGTAAATGTTGAATAGTTTTCTTCAGCGACAAAAAGAAAATCTTTAACTAAGATTAATATTATTGTTTTCTTCTAAATCAAATAAAAGAAAGAGAATGGAAAGCTCTACTTAGTTTACGGTTGTTTGGAATGCAAAGGGTATTTGTTTTTTTTTTAGTTTGAAAATATATTCTTTTTATGAGACTAATTGCACGATACTTGTAGCATGTATCGAAAAAGCCACCTTGTGCATTCACAACGGTTTTCTAGTATCATTTTCACATCTCTACCATATTTAACAATTAGATTCTAAAAAGTATAGAATATTGTATATTAGCTTAAATTCGTCTGTGTAAAATGTTACAGTGTGTAAAAACTAATAATTTCTTCTCAAGTTTCTTGTATTAAAGTCGTTCGTCCAAATTTGGTTATCTCATTTGCATTTCTAATATTTTAAAAAATATTTTGTTTACGACGTAGAAGAGAAAAGAAAGCTACTGGCTATTAATCGGCTTGACCAAATGTTACGGAATTTCATTTTTTCGTCTTCTGTGCCCCTTATCTCGGCAAAGAAGCAACGTTTATCAATGAAATTTATACCAATGATGGATATTAGGGAGTTCTACTACCAAGAATAATTTAAGCCTGATTGAACAAGCGGATCAAGTCAAACTAGAGATCGTTACAGAATTTCAAAAAATGGAAGTGTTTTTCGGCGTATTTCAGTAAAATGTAAATTATTCTGTCTTAAGTTAATTTTAAAACGATTGCCTAATTAACAAATTAAAGCTCACAGTTTGGGCTACCAGAATCACTACCGACTTTTTCTTGAATTAGTTCCCTGGCAGAGGAAATCGAATAAAAGTGACTGTTGCGGAATTTCGCCGTTTTTTGCCCTTCTTTGCAGATGGTTGCAGATGATTTTCTTCGGTGCAGATGATATATATTTTTTCTGTCACAGAACTACTTAGCAAGCTCTGAGTTGCACATAGATAGATAGTTTGAGGTTCATCCCATTCAGCCAAAAATAAATTTTCAAAGTTAGATTAAACGGACATAGAATTTCTCACAAAATAAGCGCCAAAACTTTTTTTAGAAAATAAAAAAAAATTTGGCATCTAAACGTCAAAACAAATGAGCCCTTTGGTAGAGGTTTTCCATAGTCGGTTACGTTGTACGCAACAAGTTTTGAATTGAGGTACCGTATAAAAATTTCTCAGTCTCATTCCACCGGAACTTTGTAAAAAATTCTTTTGCAAAACAATGGAAAAATTTTTTTCTGGAGTATCCCGATTCAAAACTTGTTGTGTACCAACAGCTTTGGCCGTGCTTTTAAAATTTCGCGACTGAATTGATATGACTTAGAAAAGGGGCTACTCTACGACCAGTGACCGCCTAAATAATAATACATACTCAAAATTTTGTCGAAGAACGCAAAGAGAAAAAAATGTTTGTCTATCATATAGACACGTGTGGAGGCCACATTCTTGTCGATTTCTTGCAAGATTCTTATCATGTCATATTAGACAAGAATCTTTCAATTTATCCTTCAAATTTTTATTTATTAATTTAGAGAGAGAGAGAGAGAAACGACAATGGATTATGTACGGATTTTTTTGTTTTGAAAGATTCCTATAAGAATTCCTTGATATGATTTTCCCAAGAAAGCACTGTATTGCAAATTCGGACAAGAAATCATCTTGTGATTCACATAAAAATGATTTTCTAGAAGATGCTTGTAATAAAGATTCGTTGTACTTCTGATAAAATTTGCTTAACTCTTTAACATGCGAAGTAATGTTTTAGCAAAATTCCTTGAGAAATTTATTAGTGTTAATGAATGACTAACAGTTTTCTGAAAATACTTATCGGTTGACCAAACTACTCCAGAAATTAGAACAGCTTGTAGAGAATTTCAGGCTCTATTATCTATATGAGTTGTACGTAATTGACGTTTATCGTTAACCAGAAATGAACGAACCACCACTTTTTTGAGTCTGAGTCCAATCAATACTCATTCTGTTCTGTCTGAATATTTGCTAAATGTTATCATGTTTATTTTCTTTTTTTTGTCATCCGAAACTAAAGAAGGTATGATTTTATGGTTCAACAACAATTTAGTTGTTCTTCTCGACCGCTGTCAATTCGAAAGTGTTTTCGTTCTAAAATATATTTAAATTTTTATTCAAAACTCTATTATATTCTATTTCGTTGGTCAAAACGTTTTCATATTTATACATTTATGTTCATTCTCATTATTACGGGTTTTGTATCTTATAATATTGAATTTGGTTTATTGTATAATTTAAAAAATATAAGATCTGAAACACCATCAATAATTAGATATCGTCAACAATTAATTGAAAAACAAAAGAAAGAACAATCGGATGCGTACAATTGGTTAGAACATCTCTATAATCAATCATCTACAAGTAAATTATTCAGAAGAAATCAGTCAATCTTCTATGATTATATGAATAAATCCGTTTCAATATCATCCGACTACAGCATATTAGATTATAATAAAACCATGGCAACGACGACAAAAGCAATTCAAGAAGACATGATTGTAATAACAATATTGTTTACTTCAAATGGTAGGGATCATGAGAAAACAATTTTTATATCATCATAAAAAAAGAGAAAAAGTGTCATATTGATCTTCACCTAAAGCAGAGCCCTGCAGGTTGATCCTAACCTAACCTATAGGTTAGGTTAGGATTAGGTTGCAAGAGTTATAGGTTAGGTTCGGTTGTAGGTTGTTATTTCTTTTTCGAATAGTTGCTACTTTTGTTCAAATAAAAACTTTTTTCTGATTTTAACGACATTTTTGTTCTTATTCTTTATGTCTGATTGCCTTAATTAAGACAATAGACTTGAAAATGGTTGGACAGTATTTTGTGCCAACTATGTTCGTTTCTGTAGGTTAGGATTAGGTTGCCAAATCTTATATAGGTTAGATTATAGGTTGCCAAAAACTGATAACCTACAGGGCTCTGACCTAAAGCCATCTTTTGATCTAGGATGTTAATTTTATCGAAAATTTTCTAACTGTTGGTGACGGTGTCAGGTTATTTCTAGTGGGTTGTTATTGCATTCTGGAAGCTATCAGAGCTGGTGTGATGGAGCAATTCAGTAGGTGAACTAAGCTCAGTCTAGTTGGAGTTTACCTGTTGACATTTGCTACTACTAGTTTTATTTATGTTTTATATTTGAGGTAATAATCGTCACGAGGGCAAATTTTACATAGGTCAGACATTAAAAACATTGTTAGAACAATACGATGATCCACGAATAATTGTGACAGTATGTGAAACTAGTCATTATAATGACGGACAACAACAGCCGATTAGTGATGAAACAAAACTGATTCGAAAGTTCGTTCCTCTTTACATTGTTCATACACAAGCAATACATACTCGTTCATTGAACATTAAGCTAAATGAATTTGAACGAGAAAAACAGGCATATTTAAAGTGTTTAAAAGCTAATTTTGACTTATTTCCATCTGTTAATTATGTACTATTCTTACAAGATGATGCAAAACCAATTGAAAAATTTTTTTTACGTACTCTACTCTATTTAATTGATCAACGATTTAAACAGTGGAAAGAAAAACCAGCATTTCTTAAAATATATCATCCAAGATGGTTACTTGATTATCTAAAACATCTGTCATTCTACATTATAGTACAATTATTTTCAATGAGTCTATTGTTGACATTTATTATTTACACCTATTTATATTATCGCTATTACTCGTTAAAACCAAATAATGTATTTTCTAAAATTTATTATTATTTAGAAAATAAAAAAGGTTTTACATTAATATGGCATGTTCTGTTTAGTAATGAAAAAATTAATTATTTTCTCTATTATTTTTTATTAATTACAACAGTTTTATTTCTCTTAAATCATTCGAATGTATCGTGGTCATGGCGTCGTTTACATCCAAGTTTATATGCGATTTATCAGACACCATCGTGTTGTTTACCGGCTGTTATTTACTTTCGTCAAACTTATTCGTATGTTTACGATTACCTTTATAAAACACAATGTAACGAAAAATATGCAATTGATACCGCTTTCGATAATCTCCCACAATATTATAATTATAAATTGAGAACATTAGTACTCGAACCAAATCTGATACATCATATTGGCTTATATTCGAGATTAAGACAATCATATATTAATCCATATCTAATTGATTAGTAGAATTTATCAATGATATTCCGTTCGTGACAATTTAATGTTTTTTTCTATACACAATTGCTAGTTTAGAAAGATACTCTGAACAATTCCACTAAAAGTTTTTCATCAACTTACATCGAACCTCGACGAACCTTTCACGAAATGGTGGTTCTATCAAACTAGAGTTGCAACAAAATTGTCAGGGGCTCGATCTGTTGTTCTTCGCGAGATCTAGCTCGAACAAGAATTATCAAAGGAAGTTCGTATGTGCAGGAACTTTCCATAACCATACACGCTAGATACCTCTAACACGTTTTAAATTGCAGACAACACAGGTGTCTAGACGCAAACAGAGCCGGATTTTTAATATTTTTCTCTATACAGGTTCTGGCGAAGGGAACGTCAACAGCTCGAAAAACTGTTCTAATTTCACAAAGATAGTTCACTGTCGAAAATCTGTAGAACCACGAAATTAGCACAAACTGGAAGAATGCAAACGTTTGCTTTTACCCGTACGACTTCCAGAAATCTTGCTGAAAAAATCATAAACCGTGTTATTGAAAACTTAAAATTTAGTGCGGCACTTGGGATATCATACAATGTGTTTTTCTCAAAATCGAAATTTTTGCCGAAAATTATTATTTCCGACGTGGAAGAAGCGTTAAGAGTACCTGCTCCTCTATGTTGAAAAAATTTTGGATTTTGAGCTGAAGATATCATAATGCAGAGAAAAGTCTGGGCTATAATATGAGACCACTCCCAGCATTCCACGACCTTCCTTGAAAATGTTATGAATTTTTAAGTTTTCCCTTCAAAGCATGAAAAAACTCAATTTTGTAGTTCATAAACGTTACTTTATTTTCTTGTACATTCAAAATTTGTTCTTATACATAGTCTCATTGAAAAAAGTATTCTCTTCACAATGAGACGTCTTTCAAAACTATCCGATGACTTTCGTGGAGGTATAAGCGTCGCCGTAAACGCCATGAAGAAAACCGCCTATGTACAAAATGTGTTTTTCTTACTATGTGTTTTTTCAACAGTTGCTTCAAAACAGTCATATTACGACTCACCTATAATCTGATCCTATCGACTTCAAAACTTTATCATAATTACTAGATAACATTGTCCAGGTGTAGATTTCTTTTCCATTCTATCATCTTTTCTTTTCGAGTTATTGAAATTATAAGGTTGAAATACCTGTATTCTAATATGTTTTACAGTATTTCTGTTATAATCGGAAAAGAAAAAACGATAGAATGGAAAAAAATCTACACCTGGACAATGTTGTCTAGTAATTATGATAAAGTTTTGAAGTCGATCGGATCGGATAGTACATGTGCTAAGATTAAAGTAATAAATATAATAATCATGATTTAATGATAAATGTAATGTTATGCTCATTTTTATAACTACCATCGAACCTTTTCGTGTGTCTATTACCATAACTCGTTGATGAAACACTTCAACATCAATTATTTTGAATAACTTTTTTTTTGTAACTCTAAACGTTGATAATGAATACATTGGACAGGTGTTTTGTATCATTGAATAATGATAAATATTATTCTTATTTTTGAGTGAGGAGGACATATTTCATCATCACTATCTGCGACATGTTCGCTGTGTAGTATTTTGTTTTCTGTCTGCACCTTATCCACAACAAAATATCGAAAGGAGTTATCTGTATGAGACGAGTTATAATGTTATAAGTTTAATATCAGCAAAGCGTTTTTGTTGTCTTTGGTGAGAACTGTTTTTCTCACTTTTTAAAGATGAGCATCGTCCTCTATTATGCTCAATAGGAAGGATATAAAAATAAATAAACATAAATTATTTATAGGCCGTAGAAATTGCATATTTTTCACTATATTCAATTAGTTCCTTTTTTCTGTACGCTTCTGTTGATAATCTTAGCGTGTTTAAAAATAAGTGTATTAAACTATATTCATTTTGATTTGGATTTAATCTATCTGTGATATACGAATGGATATGTTGATATTCGGGAATAGATGACATCCATTTTAACAACGATAATAACTGGTGTCTATAAGATAACAATGCCATGTAGGCCTTCACACAGTAATCTTCATAATTTTCATAAAGTAATGTTTTCACATCACCACCCATCATCAACAATGCATAAAGTGGTAATAGTTGACTTTCACTTTTCTTTCGTGCTGTTCGACTATTTATATTATCAATTGCTTCAGTTCGAATAATGGGTACAATATGCCCATCGTATGTAAACATTGTCCCTCGATTATTTAAATCAATTAAAGGACATATATAAGAAAATACAGTTAATGATGAATAGCATTTTAAAAAAGTTTGTTGAAGAAAAGAAAAATGATCTTTTTCACTGTTTGTTGTTGTTGTTTGTACGATTGTTCGACTGGCTGAAAGTGAAATGTTAATGTTTTAAACTTACGTTAAACAGAGTATTATTTGCCTCAGTCAATTTAACTATTATCAGTTGTCATCAATTGTATCCTACCTATCTTTTGTTTTTGTTCAAATAAGTGATTTAATGTCATTTCTCTAGCCAATATTGTGTAATAATCAATAATATCAATGGAATTTTGTTCAAAATCTACCAATGACATAATATCAAAAGGCACTTCGAGACATAGCAAATTATTTTTCCTATTTGTTGATTGCTTTGATTGATACGTTAATATTTTGTAACAATGGCTACATACAGATGCCGAATTTAACTGATAAATGTGTCCAAACAGATTTTGTAAAAAATTATATAGTGGATACAAATGATTTGTTGAATGTCGATAATGAAATAAAATCTGGGTGTAATTGGTTGTATTGACGAGTGAATTTATGGTAGAATAAGTCGTTGATAATGTTTTAGATTGTTGTAATTTTATTTGTAAACGATAACATTGTGAGCAAGCATCATTTGATGTTAAACATGTACACGTATAATAGTCGATGGACGAAATGATGATGTTTGGATTTAGAGAAATAATTTCACTTTGAGATAATTTTCTATCGTTGTTATTATTGCTGTTGTTCAAATCGGTTTTCTGTGAAAGGGCACAAGTTTTAAGAATGGATTTCATTGTTTTTGCTGAAGTTGAAAGACTACTGGTAACGGATTGTTTTGAAAATACATTATTTTTCGATTGTTTTCGATTGTTCATATAAAATTTGATACGAGAATACAATTGAACAAAGCGATCATTCGAATTATCCACAAGGATTGGGTTATCAGTAGTTTTCTTGTTCGTTACTGAAGTGGAACAAAAACATACCGGATTATGTTTCCAGACTATCATAGACATAAACTTACTCTCAGAAACTATCCTTTACTCTGAACTTTCAGTCAACAATCACGTACAGCGTTAATAAGAGTATCGACTCAATATTGTTGTATGGATACATTTATAAAAAAGGCGATAAGATGAGACCAAGCAAACCGTTTCAGACTACCTAAGCTTCTTCTCACACTCAAACGAAAAATTGTAAAATTTGTGAAATACACGCCTGTTAACTTTCCAAATTTATGGATTCTTTTATCATGTACAATTTACTATATATAAAAATTAATTGATACCCTGTTACGCTACCAGCTCGCTCATTTATTTGAACTTTGGGTCACTTAAGAGATATTTAGATCCACGTTCACCATTATTAGTATGAACTTGATTGAAATAATATATTACTTGTTAAAAGAGAGTTTTCTATCGATCTTGAAAATTTCAGAAATACTAGTCTGACTTATGTATCAGGCAAGATGCATTCATTTCCATATAAGAGTTGAAAAACATATTCAATTCATTATACAAGATGATATTATAGGTAAGACCTCTTGCTGAAACAGGCAATATTATCCCATTGAAGTAAATGCTGTATAAACGAACTGACAGGGCAGTAAAACACCTTGTTACACTACTTTATTATTATTATTATTATTATCGTGAAGTTACAAACAATTTTTTATGATTAAGATTTCTGTAAGTGTAATCTACAATCTTCTACCGAGTGCCTAAGATGTATGCTGTTAGAAACTTGAACTGCTATCTTAAATCTATACTTTGGTGTATAGACTATATCAAGAGATAATTCCATTTGAACGTAGTTCAGGAGAATAGACTAATGCATGATGAATTAAACAACTTGCAAGGAACAACAAAGCTCAATTAGTCTAATATACGTTAAATGTCGTTGAGAGATCAAAGATACTGTCGAAGATTTGCATATATGGATTCTGATTATGTACAGATGTTTATAATCGCAAGAACGAGTATTATAGTTAAAACAAAATGATGAGTGATCCAAATTGTTATATTCTCACATCTAGTGACAATGTTCTAAATCTTTAGTTCGCTATCGAATCTCGAATAAATGTAAATCTAGTATGTAGTAATACAAACCATTTTTATTGTTTTCATATTGATTCAGAATTATCTTTAATGACTGACTAATATCGTAAGGTAAATGATTCACACGTTTTTTCAATACATACTTTAATAGTCCTGTTTGATCATATTTTAACGAGTAAGATATCAATAAAAGAAAGTCTCGAATAAAAAATGGATGAACGTTCAACCAAAATCTGGCAGCCATGAGCATCGAAGTCGAAGTACATTTTCCTGTTAGAACCATGTTTAGAGCACAATACGCATCAAATGATGAACTGGTGAATGCATTTTGATGATATATCGGTTTTAATAACGTGGAATAAAGTGAACTAATCAACAATGGACAATTTAATAAACATATAGATAAATCGATTTGATGTTCAAATGCTTCACGTACCGCCAATATGTGACTAAATCTTAAACGCACGTTAATGGTTAGTGTTGATGATATTTGAGTACACAGTTGAACAATTTTTTTCCAATCATTTGAGTTAAATGTGGCCACATTTACCGGTACAAAATGTTCTTGTTGAAATAGTTGTTTTGTTGTAACAAAATTATGATCAGAAATATCAATTCGAGGAGATAAATATTGAAAAAAATGTTCGATTTCACATGATAATAACAGACAAGATAATATACGACACTGATTAAGTGATATACCTGAAAATATCATATGTATAATATTTTAAAAAATGCAAATTGAATATATGACAGACATACCTAATTTTGGAATAATTTCATTATATTTAATTCTTCTACAATTGTTACTCTTTTTATTAATATTATTATCATTTTTAGTGACTAACTTATCCTTATCGATATAATTCATAAATTTGATCAAAGTTTTGATCGTTTCAATTGTGTGTGTACTATTCATTATCGGAAAATTTTGACCATTTAATTTAGAAAAATATTGAAATATACAATCATAAACATCAATTTTTAACACTACACTTGTTAAATTATCTGTACGCTCATTTTGACATAATGATAAAACAATCGATAATAAACGAAATAATGTCGATGCATAATATTCAGAATAATTTATTTTAATTTTATGATGACGTAATAATTGAATAAAAAATGTTCCAATTATTTCTAATTCATCATCGTTGGTATTTAATGAATATCGTAAACGTTCAAAAACAAAATCTAGCCAGTGACGATGTGCTAAATCAAAAGAATATGTTGTATGCGGTAATATATTCATACCTGAAAAGAATAACAAAATACTATGAAATAACTCTCAATCGACTGTACAACTGTCTAACTATTTGAAAATAAGTAATTAAGCGATTGATTCGCATCTACTTCAGTTGGAATATGAAATAGAAGACAATGTCGTTCTAAAGATGCAAGAAAAAAAAGCTTTAATTTCGAATTCGAGTATATTATTTCTTAAGTAAAAGACAAATTACATTTGTGACACTCTGTTTAAGCCCCCCCCCACTCCGCCTCTTTTTTTGCAGAAAAATTTCATTTTGAGCTGAACATAGTCTAATATAGGGGAAAGTGTAGACTATACAGTGAGACCACGCTCTTCATGATCTTTCTTGAAAAAATTATGAAGTTTTTAAGCTTTTAAGTTTAGAAGGAAGTGTGCTCTTCAAAATGAAACGTCTTCCAGAATTTTCCGATGAGTTTTCGCCGAGATATATGCATCACCGTAAATATCCTTAAAAACAGAGCCCTATGTAGAATATGTATTTTCTCACTATGCGTTTTTCAATCGGGTCACATTACGACCCCTCGAAAAAATAGTGCGATCGAGCCCAAACTCTTTTTAGTATTTTTCGAATATCTTGAGAAGAAAAGCATATTTTTCGAAAAGAAAAATTTACATCCTGAGATAGGGTCTAAAGTATCTGTAAAACCCATAGAAGAATAACTCAGAAAATTCTGAGCAAAAATATATCGATTTTCTTTTTCGATGTTCTATCTCCGATATAAATTTCGCCTCGATCCGATATCGGCTTCCCCGGTTTCCAAGAGGGTCAAAAAAGAGGAGGGGGTACCCTTAAATGCTTTTACTGATTATAAAGTAGCAACTATGACTAATAATTATCCTTAAATGCTCTGAAGAAATCAAGAAAAAATCAATACAGTAGAGAAAAAAAGTTCTTCTTTTTACTTACAGCGAGCATCGAAATCTATTATATAAGACACTGAACCGCACTTAGTTTTCTAATCTGTAAGAGACCACAGTTTTCCTTACATGTTTGATATAAAAATTGATATTCATCGTTCGGCGTACTCATATTTGAGAATAAACCCATTTTTAATTTAGCTGTCATTAAAAATGCTTCGAATATTTCTCGTAATACTACTAATGTTAAATTTGGTCGTGATGATATGACGAACATGAGTGCTGTTAACATTGAATCAACCGAATTATAAGTGAACACATGTAGTGGGATAGTGGCTATTTTTCGAATTAATATACGCTCATTTGTCGTATTCAAACCCGATGATATAGCAGCGGCGAGACGAAACGAAATGATGTGTATTGGAATTAAATCTAATTTTTCATATTGATCCATATGAAATAATGAAAGTGTGCCAGAACTATCAAACATTGTCAATGTTGTATCATCATTATTTTGATTTTTTATAATTGCAATATTTTTGTTCATTGATTTTATTTTATTTATCGTGAGATCGAATAGACTAGATAATTGATCAAAAATGTACTTTTTTATTTGATTATTGGGTAGATGATCACGCGTTATGCTACTCGTATATTTTTCAAATAACAACGATGATGGATGTTTATCTTTTAATTCGTCTTTTTCGATAGGAAATTCATTGGATTTATTAATATATGTATTTAAATTACAATATTCATACTGATAATTCATTCCCTCTTCTAAGCGGAACGATTGAGCGGATGAAGCTGAAAGAATCATGTAATTTGAATAAAGTAACGTTTACAAGAAATTCCTCGTAAAAAATTTTTTCGCTTAACTAATAAAAACAACAGTCTTACTGTATGACAGAGATCGTTCAGTGACAGATGATGGCGACGCGAACGATGGTGACCGGGAAGGCAATAAAAATTGTGCATGTTTATCTTTCGTTATTGTCTGTTTTATTAGTAAAGGTTCTTTTAATATTTTTGATTGTGCTTCATGTTGTTGTTGTTGATTTAGCTGTTTTAATAAAAACTCATTCTCATATTTTATACGTAGCATATCAATATAACCAAATGAACTAAAACAGTCATGGACATTATGGAAAAAGTTTTTATTTGGAATATATGATGATGTGACAGATTTCACGATTCCAGCAGGTAAAAGAGTAAATGTGGATGAAGATATATCGTATTGTATATCATTTATATTATCAATAATAATTGGATTTTTTAATGTTTCGTTGAGATATTCATCATGGGTCAAACCAACACCATTATTCCCATTTATTTTAGTTTGATCTGGAGTATTTCTAATGTGGTTTTTCGGATGCGGATAACTAAAACAAAGAAAAAATAAATTACAAACTCTCCTAGCTATTAGGGATGTCTCTTACCGTACTGTATCATCATCAAACGCTGAAGTTGGTCTTCTTTTTTTATTGTTTTTTTCCAGTAAAAAATTTGCTGCTATAGACAATGTTGATGTTGTTGGTTTCACAGGCAAAGGTTGTGATGTAAAATTGACGATGGTTTTCATTGTTAAATCCAGAATATATTCCATTAATACTTTTTCATCGACAATGTAAGATATGTATGCAATATGTTGAATATGAGATAATGTAGTAAGCGGTACAAATGCGATGTTATGCATTAATATTCGAATAAAAAATTGTTCAAATTGTTTGTGCAATAGCTGACGTTCTACCATGTTATCAAAAAAGCGTATCCAATATTTTGTATTCGGAGCTGTTACATACTGATGAGATTGGCTAATATGAATTTCTAAAATATAAAAAATAATAGCAATAAATTTCTTGCTTTTGTAAATTATAATAGAGAGAATCATTTTCACATTCTTTTATTATTATTTTATTAGAGTGGAGACTTATAGCTGGCGAATAAAAATTAGTTAAAGTTAGTCGTTGTTAACATTCATACACCTGCTTATAGTATGGTATAGGAACATGACCAACACTTCTCGATAAGACTTCTTGAACATAAAAGAAAGGTTGATAAGAATTTGCATCAAAAATGCATGACGAAGAATAGAAGCAGGATAATGGAAAATGAGAGATTAAATATCATTTCAAATAAAAACGAAAGTTTCGTGATCGTAGCACTAAAGAGTATTGGTTGCAAGACCGCTTTTTCGGGAATATGTGGCATGGATTGATGTAATAAGAAAACAAATATCTAAACGGCTAAGAAATCAAGTGAGTAACAAAACACACGAAACTTTACCGTTTATACTTCTATACAATAATCTCAATAATTGCGTGAAAAATGACAGTACATTATAATTCCAAAATAAATGTGGACAGACATCATTCGAAAATAATCGAATTAAGCAGTGCCATGAAAATAAACGTATTTGTCTAATAAGATGACACGATCGTACGGCTAAGAATAGGCTAACTTTAATTATATCTTGATCCCAATTTGATGTACGATGTCGATGTTTGGAGTCGATAATATACATTTCAAATATATTTGAGATGTATGTAGCTAAACAATGCCATAAAGATGAATGTGAATCTAATATTGTACTACGTTCTAAATAGGTAAAACAAGAAATAATCGTTTTATGATTTGACATTTCTCTAAAACGTTGTGTTTCCAATGCCATTGTGGCGAGAAGAAAACAACATTGACCTAGAAACCAAGACACGTATAATAAACATAACGGATGATTAGATATGAAGATGATCGACGTACGTACCATACGGTAAGCGATCGATAATTGTTCGTCGTAGATGACCAAAATTAACATATTTATTCACAGTTAATTTACGCAATGAACAAATTTCTATTTCATTTAATAATTCTGGTTTAAATAATGCCATCGATTCAATCTCATTTAAGGTTTCATTTTCACCTAAACAATTACATTCAGTCTCAAGTTATGCCATGCCAGTTATAGTTCTGACTCTTAAGGAATGTTTAGCACTTGTCTTTCATTCTTTCTTGCATCAAGTTTCATTTTTTTCCACATTCAATGACTGTTCCTTGAACATTCAACGAAATCCTTTGTATACCGCTAAAAAAGTCGATCATCTCTGACACCGAGGATTATCTCGAGCGTTCACTGACAATTCACTTCTGATTAGAAAAGATAATAGGAAATAAGAAAAATGGACGCTCAATGTGACACCAAAACAACTACCATTTCTTTTCTGTGAAATGCCAATAACTTCTAATTCAGAGGGATATAAAACTTTTCTTTTTATCAAAATAAACTCTCTTTTATCTACGGCATGAATTTAAAGTGTTGGATCTTAATTGTTGCTGAAATGCAGCTGATTTACGATCGAGGATCACTTTTGAAATTTAATCTCCTTTCCAGAAAACATTCAGAACTCAGCCCAGAAACATACTTTCGACTCAAAAATTGCACCGAGTACCGTTCAATGCCTATAGATTATTCATCCAAAAAAAGGCCGTAATAGTGCTGTTTTCACAACACTATGTTCATTTCACTCGTCCATAATACTGTCGTTTCATTAATGAAGGGTTAACTGTGAATAAGCATAATTTGGTGTTTATGTTCTCTATCGAATACTTTAAAGGTACTGTGTTCGCATGTAGGCGCTGACACGTTATATAATAACTATGGAGAAATTTACTTATGACTTAGTGTCGGATCACCCGTCCGATAGCATACTTATTACGCTGTGACGTACAGTACAATTCTTATTGTGGCTTTTCGAAAAGCTACTACGCTTTACTTAAATTGAGCTTGTACTAAGAGCTCAAGCAATTGTGAAAGAGAACGCTGCAACTGTCTGACCTCTGGCCAATGCTGCAGTTAATGACTAGGAGCTAAAGAAGTGACCATGTGAGAAGCTCGTCAACTGTAGAGAACATACCGAGTTATTGAAACTGACACCGTCAGGACACTACACCAGTAATGGTAGTTGCAAAATGGGGTATTTTTCCTTCTTCCTGTGTATAAGCACATAGTACATTTATGAAAAGTTAGCAGTGTAAAATCATTCTTATCGTATGAAAACTAATCGATAATCTACCGTACACATGCATCGTTCACATACCACAAAGAATGGGCGAATTTAGGGCAATTTGTGATAACCAGTAAGTCCATTGTACAGGATATTGGATGTCGTCTCTATTTGCATTTTTTTGTCTAATTTTGAATTTATTTCTAGCTATACTCATGTTGCTACTAGTGGATTTACAATTCGTATGTAAAGTATCATCATTCTCTGTAAATTTATTCAACGCACATACTAGCCAAAATTCTCTAAATAATCGTAATAATCTCGAATCGATTTGTGATAACAGTATTGACTGTGTTACATGTCCGATAGCCGGTATCAATTGTCCGATTCGAATTAAGTACGATTTAGACCATTGTAATGTTTTTAATTCGTTAAATACCAACAACACTAGACTAATGAATAATTCCAATAAAATTCTTAATAATGCACTTGATGTTTCTAATGGAGAGGGTTTTGAATTAATGACAGATAAATTCAATAACGCTGCCATTGAACGACTACAATGGAGAAAACTAGCAAGTACTATGGGTTATCGTCTGCCGTACAGAAACTCAATACCTAAAGAGTCTTTGTTCTTGATTTTTTATTTGTATATGACATTTGTTCTTCGTTTTCGGCTCAATTAATTGCACACGCTTCACTCGCAATGATATTAACTGTGTGTTACTACCATTCTCTTCTTCAATTTTTTCTGCCTCTCGAAATAGATCATCTGTTGGTAAAGTCAATATTTGCTGTATTTGACTTGTTATAGCCCATTGTGATTTCTGTATTAATGATTTTGATGTATGACGAATAATATCAACAAGTGTATGAATCGTTGTCAGATATAAAGACTTTTCTACAATTGTTAAATTTAAACTAGTTTGATCAATAATTAAATATTCCAATAATAATGAACGCTGTATACTTAAATCACTAAATAAACTGCTTTTGGTAGATAAGTTAACATGTTTATAAAAGTAGTCAATCTCTTGATGATAATCTTGTTTTTGTTGAACAGCAAATGGTAATACCAGTGGATCTAACGTCGTAGAACAACGAGCAAAATAATAGTTTCTTGTGAAACTTCTCGTATAAATTTCGAAGAAAAGATTTTATTATTACCTGTGTCTATTCGTTGTACTGGTATTAGTTCATTATTCGATTGACCTAGTCGATACTTTTCTTTGATGTTAGTTATGGGTGTTTGAGGAATATTAGTGTCAAATTTATAATCAAATAGTGGACATAGAATATATCTTGGTTTTGGATTTGTATGATCAATAATTGAACGCAATGATATAGTTACAGCATTTCTCACGAGTGTGTAAGCACAGGTCACATCTTTTGGAGCATTCATTAGTTTCTTTTTCGCCCTCGATCTCATTTTGTGATATGGACTGTACAGTTTGGGAGATAAATAGGAATGATTCGATTTATCTCAAGAGATAAAACTCAAATTAAAAAAAGATCTGGCTAAACCGCTAGTTTACCACTGCATCAGTAGTAGAGATCTGCACGGGCAGCCCGTGCAGTAGACATGCACCGGGACGGGAACATCGCGAAATTCCGTTTTGGGGAATCTCGATATTCTGGTTGATGATAAAATTTTGTTCGTGAGTTTCAGTTCTGTAAGTGTTAAAAACTATCAGGTGTAAAATCTATTAGTAATAGTAACTTCGCTACTAACCGCAACTGATTACGTTTCATAAAAAAGTGGGTCTTTCTTTACGTTTTAAAGAAAAAGAAGTTAAGACAATACATCTTTCGACGTTCTACAACATGTCTAATTTCTAGCGACACCTAATGTCTTTAAAAAGGAAAATGATGGAATGAACAACAAAACGGGCTGTTTTTAGTGCAGCTAATGAATTCCGTTAGATATTCTCGGGTGGAAGACATTTCATAGCTCGAAGGGCCTATTCACAATTCCTCTCTAAATTTTCAATAAAGTTCGAAAAAACATACATTACAAAAAGCCTTTCTCATTATTCTCACTACAGACCGGCAAGCGACAGAAAATTGAAAATTTAAGATAAGGGAGCTTTTTCTCCTATGTCAGATTACTTTAGTAATACTGCGGTGTTCTACATTTCGATGAACGGATTCTCAACTTTCGAGACTCACGACTTTCGAGTTTCGGGATTCCCGTCCCGGTGCATGTTTATGTATCAGTGGGCATGCAAAGCTATAATATATAGTCTGAGTAACTCGAATAATTACCAAATTTTTCTTTAGTCGTAGGTGTGTTCATCACTGAAGTTTTCTTTAAAAATTTATTGAGAGTTTCTGTGTGCTGATAATGATGTCGATATCTACGGCGTTTATAATATTGATGAGATCGATGGAGATAATCTTCATATTGACTGTGCCATTGATGATGTCGACGAGTGTGTGATTTTTGTGACTTACATAAACGAACATTCGATTTTCGTTGTTCTTCCCGTAGTTTGGCTAGTGATGCTTGTTTTTCTCGAATGATCCTTTTGATATAACGATCTAATAAACGTGTTCGCATACAACTGACGTTCAACAAAAATGTTGCATCAGTTATTTTTAATAAATACATAAAATTTTTAGAGATACGACTAAAAACTGATTGTATGATATTGATTGAACGTTGAGAATATTGATTATAGGCACGAACAATGAGCACAAGAGTTTGAAGCATACCTAACAAGGGGGTAAAAGCACCACTTCACCACTTCATTTCACTTCACTTCATCTAGGTAAAACGCTGCTGAAACGGTCGAAACAATAAAAAATCACTTCAAGTTCACTTCAAGTTAAGCGGAAGTGGTGAAATGGTACTTTCCCTCCCTTGCTTCCCTCCCCCATCAGGGGCGCCGTTTCAGCAGTGAAGTGAAGTGAAGTGAAATGAAGTGGTGAAGTGGTGCTTTTACCCCCTTGATACCTAAGCTCTCTGATTAGTTCAAAACTAATAAAAATTATTGAGTGATTAATCTTACCAATGACAAGTAATACTTGTGCTCTTAATGACGATTGATAATAATAAATATGAATTGTTAAAATAGTCTCAATTTGTCGAAACATATCTTCGAAACATTGTATTTTTCTACTTTCATCTTTATAAGAGTGTATCAGGAAATATTTTATTTGTAACAAACTAAAATGCATTAACAATCAAAAACTAATTTATTTTCAGATAATCATTGCTTACTTGATTTGAATACATGCTTCACACCAATAATCATCTTCTGTTAAGACAATCGATTCTTGATGCTGATGTTCTGGTTGTTCAATAGGATCAATTACCTCATCGGAACCTTTAACACAAATATCAACGGTTGATGATATTGACGAATTGACTAGAACAGATTTCGTACAAAATTGAGGTAGATCGAAAACATCAGTGGATAATACTAAAAACGTAAAAAGAAACGTTATTATGGAATGAAATTATAGATTTAACAAAATTAACCTGGTATGTCTTGTTTTTTATTTGTCGAACCGTTTTGTTGATCTCGTTTAAATTTTTGAAGACGAGCAAATATATTTCTAATTCTATGACGTCGTTGAGAATTATCGTTTTTATTTTCAGATATATGGTGAAAACCATCATTCTCATCGACTTTATTAAATTTCAGAGCTTCTCGTTTCATAGATATCTGATTAGATGCAATTTGAACAGAAGACTCCGTTAATGAATGCGAACCATTTGATACCAATTCTTGTTGTTCATCTTTGCAAGATCGATCTAGCGATTTAGGATAGATTTTCATGTTTGGTAGCATTGATGCTGAAAGCGACTGTTTATAGCCCTTCAATCGATCGGATAAATTAACTTCTTCAGGAGCCTAAAAGTAAACATTTTTGGATACGCTTAGCTGAACTAGACGTTACTGATTGTAATACTTGAAATAGTGATGTTGGTGTAGCTGAATGTGGATGGTATAAGTCAGCAGTTTGAAATGGCGTTGTAGTTTTAGATGATGTCGATATTGACGTACTCGTCGTGATTAAACTTGGTGTGAACTCATCTTTCAATGAGTTTTGTTTACTACTCGATGAGGCATCAGATTTAAACTTCATTTCATTCTCTTCTCTATCGCGTATTGTTGTTGTGTCCGGTTTACTTTCATCAAACTGAAATAAATCATGTAAACTATTCAAACTCACTTTGTATTTAAACGATCGCAAACGCTGTGTACTAATTTTATCCAAGACAAATGTAACATTTTCATGTAATTCTTGTGGAACACAATCAAACAATAAAAATATGTCACGAAAAAAGCCGAGAGTTGTTTGTATTAACAATGAACTCAAATTTTTACAATTAAATGGATAATTGAACTTTTTTAACGGTATAAAATAATCGATTGTTTGCACAAACTTTTCATTAAAAAATAAATCATTTAATTCAAACCATAACTGAACGATTTTATCCATCAGATAAGAATATTCTCGCAAATCTTTGATGTAATTTGAACAATCATCTGATTTATTACATAAAGAATCAGTTGGATAACTCGATGATGGTAGATCGAATAAAGTTCTAATCAATAAATCTTTTGGTGATTGTAAAAAAATGTCATTCAGTTCAATTTTACGTTTATTCAAACGAATATGTGTTTCGTACATTAACAATGTTAGACGAGCATACGGACGATTATCTAAACGAGAAAAGAACACAAGAAGCATCAGTATTTGAAAACAACACTAAATGCTCACAGAATACCCATATAGACTTGCGTTGGATTTGACTTTTCTTTTAATAAGCAAGGTGATTCAATTGTTAAATCAAATGGATTTCGATATTCTCCAGTTGCACTTGTTGTTTTATCCAAATCATATCGTTTCGGATACAATAAATGTGATAGTGTTGTGATATTTAACAAACCTCTTCTACAACAACTTCTTAAACTACCCATTAAATAATAAATTAGATACAATAAATCATATTTGATTTGATTTAAATCATTATTTGTTGCTGTTTTTGTTGTCGTATGAGTTTGATATATTGATGTGTGTGGGAGATAATCATTTGTTTCCAGACCTGCACTATGACTACTTATTTTTGAAGGTGAATACTGTGTTTTAGGTTGATAATAATTTCGAAAAGGTATCTAAAATATAAAATATTGAGATTACAACAATAAAAGATAAGACCACTATGTATACTGTTCGTTTTGACAACTGATCTAAAATTTGTTTAATTCTTTGTGAACATTGAGTAATAAAACTGACTTGTGTTTCATGTATATCAATAATTAGCCTCTTATGTTTTGTATGTTCAGCTACTTCGCTAAGTGCCATATGTATACAGAAAATAAGTATTTCTGATTGAGGAAGATCGTGTAAAAATAAATTTGTTGTTGAAATCGAGACATTTTTACGAATGTTATTATTAATGGGAAAGTGTTGATAAAAATATTTTGGTTTCCACGTCAAAGAGAAGAGTACATTTTGAATAAATAATCTTAAACAGTTAACTGATGGAGCAACGAACGATGATGTAGGTGATTCTGAGATTAATAAGCATAAAGCCAATAAACCGTTAATTAAATGTTCATCAAATTGAAGATTGGTAATGTTATTTTCGATAATACCAATCGGACATAATTCTAGTAGAAAATTTAAGGTAGAATTATTCTCAGTAGTTGTGATGGAAGAACATTTTGCTAATGCACGAGATAATTGAAATAACACAAGACGTTGATTTAAATATCGGTCATAACACAAGTTTTGCTAAACAAGAAAAGAAAAGAAAATTAATAATTTGTTAAAGTGGAAAAACCGAGTAAGTAATAGAAATCACAGAAAAATCGACAATAATATTTAGCAAAATAACATACAAATTCAGATGAACTGTAGCAAAACCATCGAGCATAAAAAATGTACACAATAAAGCAGACAAACAATAATCGAGCGTAGATCAAACACACACATGAAAGGTACACATATCAACCTTGGTTCTTCTTATATCAACCTGAAAAAACAAAAAGAGAAGAAATTTGTTCTTTTCACGTCGGTTTCTATTGAGCACAGGCTATTAAGATAACATTTCATCAATATTCTTAAACATTTCTATGAGACTCGAAATTTTCAATTATGAAAGCATGAACCGTTGAGTAATCACTGACATCCAACATAAATGATCTTCTCCAAAACCCTTTACACAAAATTAGACTATAGTGATATGAAATAGTTTGCCACAACAAGGTAAACGTTAATTATGGATATCTAATTCATCCTATGTATTCTCTTTTCTTTTCTGCGTTCTAACTTATACATTTTTACCATCAACTACAAGTCTTTCTCAAACGACCCGCTCTTTTCCATGACCAAGATCAACATCTCAATATCCGTTACCATAGTTTTACTGTCAAGTCTGATTGTCTTAGTTCAAATCGAGACTAGAAAATAGCTCAGCTATGTATTGAGACCGTCACACATTTTCTTATTTGTTTCTACATTAGAAGACTACATGAACCGTTTAATTACAAGGAACGCACAATTTCAGGTCAAGATACGTATTCGATAGTTTTAAACTGAAAATACATTGACAGTCGCGATTGTTGAAAGGAAAATTATTGAACACATATCTTGACCGTTTTTCTAAAAAATGTCTTCCCGATTTGTTCCTGATTGCTTAGTAAGATGAAAGAACATTAAAGGACGGCATCGAAAATGAGTATGAGTACTTGAGAAAAATTGAGGATAAACTCTTAATAAAAGTTATAACTATAGTATACACCATCGGAAAGGTTCCTCAGGTCTATTACACTTCTCTTCCTATGGACCAGAGACATTAGAAATTTGCAGCTACAACAAAAGGATTGACGACATGGTCTACGACTAAAAATCTTTATGGCATACCACCGCAAAACAAATAAAGTTGGTTCTGAATTACTGAAAAGTGCTTTTTCATATTCAGCACACTTTATAACCCAGAAGATTTTCTATTTTTGACGACGGTTACTTCCAAAAGTTTAGGAAAAATTTTCAAACTAATATTATTTTCCCATGGAAACTTTTTGCTCCATTTTGTTTCAAAATTTTTCCTAAACTTTTGGAAGTAACCCTCGTCATTAATGGGTTATCGAATGTGTTGGATACAAAGAAGCACTTTTCAGCAACTCAAAACCAACCTTATTTTTTTTGTTTCGGTGATATGTCGTATAAAATCAACTGAAAGGTGGGTTCTTTTATTGCTGTGTGACCATCTTATATTATATCAGACATTATCCCCAGCAGACTTGGCAAAACAATCAGCTTAGTTTACACTTTCATTTGGATATTGCACAGAAATGTGTAGAATAACTCAGTTTGATGAATATATTGTAACGTTTCGGCTTGAATTTTTATATCTATAAATCAACCTAGCTCACGAATATGAATTTAACTTCATGTACATAGTAGTAAAGAAAAGCAGGACTTTTGGTTTGTAGCCTCATAATACAGAGTTGTTCACTTGCACTCTTTAAGAGTGAATGTGTATCCAGGAATGCCAATGAGTTTATGAACTTTGTGCTAATACGCTTCCGCCTCTAATGTTGCCTTTGTCTATTTGAGAGATCTGACTTTCTGAGTTGTATAATATTACTCGTTCTAAATCTCGTGCCTCTTATGTAAGTCGTCATTTTTTATTTTTGCTCATGTTCTTCTTCATCGTGTTTATTTGAGTTCATGTGAGCACTTTGTCTACATATATGTGAAGGAATATTTAATACCTATATATAATATTGACAGCTGATGTATAAAGGAACGTGCACGTGTATCTGATAAGATCTATGAGATGGAACAAAAGCTTTCTTTTCTTGTGCTTGTTTTTATTGGTAAGGTGCACGCAAAGCAAAATTTTAGCAAAATTTTGCTTTGCGTGCACCTTATGTCGTAGTTACTTTTGTATGGGGCAAAGACATTGATAATAGTCTGTTTTTGCGACATCTGCTGCAATTAATAGAGACTTTGCTCAATCTTGGTTTGCGGCCGGATACGGCAGTATAAATGCGATAAAATGAGGTCATGATCATAGAAAGATGTTTGTTACGCTGTAGAATGAAAGTATTTAATATTTTCTATGGATTGCTGCGTGTAAGGTCAGAATTATAAACTTTTTGATTAGATGATTATTTTTATTTCTTTTATAAAAGCACGTAGTACTGCCAGGGTACCCAAATCCAATTTTTAGAAATCAGGAGTTTTTCGTAAAAAATGTTGCATTTATTCATATATTCCGCAGTGTGTTGAAATTCACACATATCGCTTCTGCAAAACTGATTATTCTGCAAAAGTTGATTAGATGAACATATTAAGGGTACGGTAATAACACTGAATCAAACTATATGGAAAAATCCGATTGTTACTGCAGTTGCGCTCGTTTTCACTACTTTTAGCAGTTGAGTAGTTGAAAGGTCGAATGAGGAGATGACAAAAACTTAAGATTTATTGTTTTAGATTAAATCGTGGCTGTACCTTATCTGGCCCTTCCACAGCAACATCATAGAATCAATATGGGCGAACATCCCGAACATATATTAATAACAGAATTTTTGACTGGTTCAGAATCGAATGTGGATATATTCGAAGAACATAATGTTATTGCTGTGTCACCAAATGATCACAGATGGTACAGGTAAGTTAGTAAGAATGTTAATTTTATGGCAAACTAACAATGATCATTGCTTTTCTGTCTGTTTAGATTAATCGAAATACGTAATGGTTTAAGATGTATGATGGTAACAACAAATGTATATGATGATGAGAGTGAAGAAGAAAGTGAAGAGGATAAAAAAGAACTTCAGTCCGTTGAGTAAGCGTTAAAACATCTAATCAATGAAACGTTATACATCTTTTTATAAATAGAGATAAACTTCAATTACCAGACAATGAACAAATGTTGGATCAACATCAAACGGTAATTTTTTCTTTTATTCTTCTTGTTTTCTTATAGCAGAAAACAAGTTATTAGGATAGAGATAATCAGTTAAGTTAACAACTCATTAATTGTTCTTGTTTAGTCCATAGTGGCAGTGAGTATTCCTGCTGGTTCATTACTAGATCCATATGAATACCAAGGACTTGCTCATTTAATCGAACACTGTAGGTGTTTTTAACTATTTTTATACAAGTATTAGAATAGAGAGTCCATCTTTTTCTTTTGTCAAGTACTGTTTTCTGGATCAATCAAATATCCCGAGTTCAATTGTCTTAATGCATTTGTTGCATTTCACGGTGGTACAATACACGCGTATACCGAGTTAGAATTTGTATGTAGATAAAAATATTGAAATTAAACAATTTTAGATGGCAAACATTTTATTCTAGACTGTAATTGTATTTGAAATTCAAAGTCAAAGAGTTGTTGAAACACTCGATATTCTAATACATTCAATTATTGAACCATTAATGATTCCTGAACAAGTAGCATTACAATTACAAACAATTCATGAGGGTAAAGGTGTTAATCAATAATATAATGATAATACGATAGTTTGTAGAACTGCAACGTAGCTTCATTTGAGGCAAGAGAATGATTCCATTTTTGAGTAGTCTCTTCTTCATCTAATTTCAGAAAGTATTATTGCCCAAAGTGACGATCATTATCGTGCAACAAGACTACTCGCACACTTAGCTCATGATACACATCCAATAGCACAATTTTCATGGGGTAATGAGCATTTTTGTTCGACAAAATTATAAATTAAATTTCTATTTTGTTTTATGTAGGAAATAAGACAAGTTTAAAAGAATTGATAACGGGAAATACGTATTCTACTGAATTATTAAAAGATTTTGTTAAAGAAAAATATTTAATACCAGAAGGAATGAATGTGGTTATGATATCAAGTGAATCATTTCGAGTTATGCAACAACGTATTGAACGTTTATTTTGTTTAATGAAACGAAGGTATCCAAACTGCATTCTCTAGTGAATCTGCGTGTGCTCTAGTACTTGGATAGGTACTTTGCTTGCATAATGAAGCATATACTTGCTTTTTTTTCTACAAGTAAATTTACTTGCAAGCACTGAAGTCTTCATTTGACAGAGACAAGTACCTGTTCAAGTATTTGTTGAAGTAAAAGTGCAAGTACCTACCATTGTTTCCAAGTTAATCTTATTGAAATAAATGTACATTGTAACTTAATATCTCAAATTTACTTAATATCAACAAATTTCTTAGAAATCTCAAATTGCTTTTATTAGCAATCTTACTTAACAAGTACTTACACAAAAGATTTTGTGAAAGCGCTAGGTATCAAGACAATAAATCAAATTTGGACAAGCTATTTTAAGAGTATATGACAGATTAGGAGTTATCTGAAGTATCTGAGGAATTACATGATTTATTAAGGTTATTCTACTTTCTTTTCAAAATATTATAATTTAACTTTAGTTATAAACCATTACCGGATTATGTTGCAATGAAAAACGCATTTGACACATACAACTTTAAGAAATTCTATATGGGTAATATTGAATTCATTCAACGATTTGAATCTTGCCATGTTTCTTTTGTTATTTTCTAGTATTACCTAAAGAAAATATTCATCAATTGAGAATATCGTTCCCATTGCCGTCTGCTCATGATTATTGGAAAATAAAACCCGAAGATTATTGTAGATTTATATTTTCACATGAAGCACCTGAAAGTCTAAGCAGTTATCTCAAAAATAAGTAAATATAACAAATAGATTTTAGAATTACAAAAAATGAATATAGAATAGTGAAGCTTTTGTGAAAGTTCTGTACAATTTTAAAAGAAAGTAGAAAATAGTTAAAAATTCTGTTATTAGGAGATTTGTCTATAATTTTTCGAGATTATGGACAACATTGGTTGAGTTTGATGTTGGCGATTCACAATTTTATCACAATTCAAGTGGTTCACTATTTACATTTATTATACATTTAACTCGTCAAGGTCTCAAAAATATTCGATTGGTAGAAATGTATTTAGTTTTTGTTCGAGACATGAATTATACTTTGGTATTTTTAGATACTTGATTCGATATTTGAGGCAATTAATTTAGTAAAACGTTTGGGACCATTGAAACGTGTTTATGATGATATGCAATTGACTGATCTTCATGCATTTTTGTTTCAAGATAAAGTACGATATTTCTATTCTTACAATGTTTTCAATAGAACAGTTTTTCATAATAGGAAGACAGTATTGAATATGCTGATACGATTGCACGAAACTTACGAAAATATCCACCGTTGTTTGCACTCTTCGGACACAGTCTACATCTTCAGTTTGAACCAGTTGTAAGTAAAAAAAAACGTTTCAACAGTATTCTGTAGTATTGTTTTAGATAGCTATCTAAAGTTTCTAGTCAGTTATGAAAATTATAAACGCATTGGATCCTCGAAATTGTAACATGATGCTATTATCAAAGTTATCTGAACCTTACTGTGATCAATCAGAACCGTGGTTCGATATTAAATATGGAAAATTTGGCAAGCTTTTTTAAAATAATTGTATACAATAGATTAAATACATATGATGCTTTTCTTTCTAGACATTCCTGAACATTGGCTAGAATATTGGAAAAGTACGGAATAACAAAAATTCAGTCGAGTAAGGATAGTTTTTTCAAATTATGTTCAATTTATCTACTGTGAAAGTAAAGAACTGTAATAATTTAAGGACGTTATAACAAAAACTGTTGTTACTGATCGTTTCGTGTTAGATCCCCGTCCAAATCCCAATTTATCGATACCAGATTCAACTCAATTTTTAGCGGTTGATTTTTCAATAAAGCAAATGGATATTGAAATGAATGATGTAATGATATCTGAAGAAGAATTTTGTCACATACAGAAAGTGAAATTATTTAAATTTCTAATCGATTTTAGGTTCCAATTATACTCGCTGAAGAACAATGGGGAACACTCTGGTACTATCGTAATAGTCAGCCATTACCAAAAGGTTTGTCAAAAACTTCAAAAATGATCTATACTTTCTATTTTTATACCTTTTAGCATTTTTCAATCTTCGTTTTCTATCTCCCTACGTTGGACTGACACCACAACAGTAAGTTCGTTAAATTTTTAATAATAGTACACTTTTGAGGTCATAATTATTCGTCACTTTAGTGCATGTATGTTTGATTTATATATAGTAATGTTAAATTCTTTATTATCAGCTCATGCTTATCCTGGAAAAGCATCACATATATCTATGTTTTTGATATCAAGTGATACGGGTATTAGTATGAAAATAAGTGGATTTAATCAACATTTACCAGTAAGATTTTCAACTAACATAACTCTAGAGAGAAAAAATGATTTTATTTCTAGAAATATTTGGAAAAAGTTTTAAAAGTTGTTCGCGATTTTCAAATATCTGAGGAAGGTGTTTTATCATGGAAACAAGAACTAAAAGTCGAATATTTTCAAGAATTGACTAATCCAAGAAAATTAGCAAAGTAAATTCACACAGCATTGTAAAGCATAACAGATATTCGTTTTTCTGCTTTAAAAATAAACTTCGACATTTATATAGAAGATCGTTTTAAGACTACTATTGTCCATTTTCTAACTGCTACAAGAGAAAATTATCTAACAATATTTTGATTCCTTTCTTTTCAGACATGTTCGATTATATTTAATGAAAGATATCTGGTGGCCGGTGTATGAAAAAATTCAGTTTTTGGACGATATTACCTTTAAACAAATAGTAGAATTTTCTATATTATTTCGGACACATTTATCGCTCGATATGTTTGTCGCTGGAAATATGACTGGAGAAGTTCGTATAAAAACCATAGTTATGTTCTTTTATAAACATGAGCACATTTTCTCTATTTAGGAATCAAAACAACTTTTTACAATGGCACAAACTGTTTTTAAACTTGGTCCAGTGCCAAAAGTACTTATTCCATCTGTAAGTGTCGGTAACTATTTAAATAATACTTGTCAGCTTTTCAAACGTTATTACCATTGAAAATTCAATGTAGATAGATATACTATCAAATACTTCGCGCTGCCTTTCGTTAAAATACCAAGTTACTTTTACAGCTATGTATCGTTCCTTGTTCAGTTACGTGCTACTCATTTACCGCCACAAGAAACTTTAGTGAAAGTGGAAAGTTTCTCTACCGAAGATTGCACTACATGTCTGCTACTATTTCTGGAGCATGGTATTACATCGATAAAAGATTATGTTATGTTAGAAATTATCAGTGAAACAATTCAAGAACCATTAGAAGTTTATTTAAGTTCAGTTGTAAAGGGACCGCTTACATGTCAAGTAACGTTACGTGATACGTATGGAATATTATCGTTACAAATTGAACTAACATTTCCTGCTCATATGTACAATGCATTAGATGTCTGTGAATACGTTAATCAATTTTTTCTATTATTTAAAGATTTGATTAATGAAACAACAAGTGTCGAATTTGAACGAATTATCACCATGTTTCGAACGGGTGAACTCCCTCTTTCTCTCTCTCTCTTTCATCTAGTATCGCTTCAAGCATAAAATAATCATCGCATTTTCACTGCTTGTTTCAGCAAAACAAATGATGGAAACATCTTTACAAAGTGTTGTTGATCGATTTTGGACAGAAATATTATTTCAAACATATGTTTTTGACAGAATTCATAAAGAGGTATGCAAACAATTTTAGCAAGTCTTTGGAAAGTTCGATGAAAAAATAGACAAAGCAATGGTATTTCTCACAGAAACCATGCTCACGCACGCAAATATACATGTAACACCTGTGTGTTCTCATATTCAGCATGGTTGGTAGCCTTTAGAGATATATTATTTTAAATCAAACTTTTCAAGATTTGTAGCTTTTTCGGAGGGATATGTTAGCTTCGTTTTATAATCAACCAGTGAGTCTCAAAATGCACCAGATCCCAGTATGAATTCTATGAGCAATACCATTTATTCTAGACTCACTTCTAGAAAACGTGACTTGAAACAAGTTCTAGAGTGGTGAAAAATGGTAAAATTTCCCTCTAGTGTATTTTCATTTAAAACTAATTTGCCTAATTTTTACTCAGTTGAATGTTTGGTTTTCTTCTATAAATTTCTATATTCTCTTACTTTTCTCTTCAGCGTGATGCACTCGAAACAATAACGGTAACTGAGCTACAAGAATGGTATATGGAACATGTTTTACCCCCATCAAGACGACAATTATCTGTCATAGTATGTTCATATATAACTCTGAATAAACAGTCTGGTGCATTCTATTTTACTAGAAATTGAAATTCAAGAAATATATTTTAAAGATAATTTTGATCGTATTTAGGTCACATCATCCAAAGTAGAGAAAGCACTTACCATACTCACTTCTGGTAACCAAATGCTGCGTTCTTCTCACGAATTTCGTAATCGTATTCAAACACGTTCGTTAATCAATTTATCAAATTCACGTCTAAACCGCATATCAAAACGTAAACATGAGATAAAAATTGATGAAGAACGTACACTTATTCAACAATCAAAATCTGAACCAAAATTTCATTGTCTAACAACAAAGCGAAAACATGAATATCCGTTAAAAACAAAATCGGAACCATTGCAATTGAAAAGAATGATAGATGATCTCATTCATGGACAAGGAACAGCAGCAAAATTAGAATATATTCTTAAATCATTTGAACACATCGAAACAAGTGGAAGACAAAATTCAGTTAAAACAAAACACTTAAAAATTTTAACCAAACCCGATTTTGTCAAAGATAATTATTTTCAAATTGAAGATCTAAAAGATTTTAAGGAGTCATGTTTTTTATTCAATACTACATCTCTTAAATAAAAACAATATATTTGCTCAGAACAAGTGCAGTGTCGTAATTTTTTCCCACTCCAAAAGATAATCCTACTCAGCCGATAGAGATAGATAAAGTACTTCTAATTGACCTTCAAAATAGTAAACGAGTTTTTGCAAATGGAGTTCCATTAATTTTTTATAATTTGAAGATGAATAAAAAGTTTTTCTCAATGTCCCTTCTGAGTGTTTCGGACGGGATCTTGCTGAGGCGGGAAACATAAAATGTTAGTTGAATGGCAACTTTTTCATAGAAAGTTCTCCATAGGTCAAGTGAGTTATTGTTGACTGAATAAGAAAATGGATAGAATTATTCTTGTAATGTTCGACATCTACATTCTCAAGTGAACTGAGGAAAAATGCACAGAAAGTCAGTCTCGAAGCTTGCACTATGGGCCAATCCAGGTTACCACGAATCGGGCTTTTATACAGCTGAAAGTGGTTGTTTTACAGCAACTTTATGCATTTCTGTGAAAATTTATTCGTCATAATAGTTCAGGCGTATTCTTGACAGAAGGTCCTTTCAACAAAAATATATTAGGCTGTTATTCTTCACATATAACTCATATAAAAAAGGATTACTGCAAAAAACTCACCAGCCATTTCCACAACCTAAAACAGAGGCAGCTTTCTTAAACAAAAATGGCTTAGAAATAGCTGGTGATTTTTTTGCAGTAATACTTTTTTATAGGAGTTATTTGTGAAGAATAACAGCCTACTAAGTCAATTATTTGTGCATACATGAAAGTATATTTCAAAATCAAACCGATACTCACCAAATTTGCAGCTTCGAGGAGGGGCCAGTGTTCAGAAACTGAGCCATAATCTGTCATAAAACACCCGTAAAGTATGTTTGAGCAAAAACACGAGCACATACATAGAAACTGTATTTCCTGGAATAAAAATGTACAAACAGAAAAAGAATCGTTCAAGGATAAAACTGATTGTCAAACTGGCGCGCCAAGGATGTTAAATTTGAAAAATTAAGTGGATTTGGTTGATAACTGGACATATCTGGATTAGATGTGAAGAATGAAGTTATTGGAGTGAGTATTGGTAATGACATCAGGTCTCTTCCTACTATTGAACACTCATAACATTGACAGTCATTCGGATTTGCATACATTGAATGTGGATACGGATTAACAAAAGGATCATGAACTTGAAAATTTGATAGTGGAGTCAACATATAAGGCTAGAATAAAATGAATGGAATAAAATAAGGCAGCTCATAAAACAACGCATATTAATCCCATATCAGATCGTAAACACTACGCGAAATTATTCCTCAAAGCTGACAAGTAGTCATTCGACTCAGGTACAAAAGGTAAAGCAATACATACTATTACGTGTGTAGCCAATGCTGAGTAATTTGACGACGCTCCTTGTACCGGATAAGACGATAGCATCGGTGGGTTGAATAGGATATTGTTGTTGGGTAGATTTCGATTATCAATCACTGGCTTTGTAGAGACATCTTGAGCGATCGGTGAAGACGATGATTGAAGATGACACGATTTTTTTCGCTCAGATCGCTTAAATAAAGACTAAAAATAAGGCTTACTTAACCGAGATTTAGAAAAATACTTTCTACTCAGTTGTTAACCAATGCGAAATCTTTCTGGCAACATATCTAATACTCAATACTATCCTTGATGCATCATCCTTAGGCGAAACACTTATATCGGGCATCTATAAGTATCAATTAAAACTATCTACACATGCACGCTCTACAACTCTTCTGTATTGCTACTACAGTAGAAAAGACAGAAGGCCCAACTATCTACTACAGAAAGATATGAAACGAATAAAAAAATTGAATGACTGGTGCTGAAAGGCTAAGTACTCGCTAAGTATTGGAATAGCAGAATCCTCATCTACAAAGACACCTCTTCTCTCATGTAGGTTTACAGTCAGCAATAATATTTAGTTACTTACTCGTCTGTTTGAAAACCAATATTTCACTTTTGATTCTGAACTTTGTAGAATTTGTGCTAAACGTTGAATTTCAGTTGTAGATGGATAAGAATTGGTCACGTAGCTTGGAACTAAGATTTGTTTTTGAAATTCATTTAATAATTGACGTTTCGAATGACCTGTTGTAGAAGATGGATTTGTAGAAGACATTGTACGGAGAGAGATGTTTAATAGAAGAGAAATTGTGAAGAGTAACTTTTATTTCTTGTGTATTATATAGGTTATTTTAGTGAAACTTCTCAAAATGAGATCATGTGAATGTTATCTAACTGAGTTAATCAAGCTCATGTACATTTAAACAGAAAAAGTAAACAGTTTTATTTAGGCATATCAATTAATTTAGTTCTGTTATAGAATTTTGTCACTCAAAAAAATGAGAACAAAAGTTTATAAAGTGAACTTTTAATCCAATAAAGAATCTATAAAATCTGTGTGATAAGTGAAACGATAGTGGATGGAACATCGACTTTCAGTTCTGATTATAGTTAAAGACTCCAAACTTTGATTTGAGACACCTCATAAAAATAAGGATTATTCACTGTTTATTTATTGAGAGTTTGACCGAAATAAATATACGATGACTTTTGCTATCGTGGGAAGTTATGTATAGAATCGTATAACTTAGTTCGAACAAAACTCTCAACGCTTACACGAAAAAATGGACCAGCATGGCATAACAATCCCATCTATCATATAGCGTAGTTTGTTTTAACTGACAATGGTGACTCACCTATCAAGTACTCATAAACTGAGTCAAAGAGCTAAAGGAAAGGAAATGTTGTTGATGTCGTCGACGTTTTATAGGTAAAAGATGTTAGCATTATTTCTATTATGATTTTTCATTTAATTAACAACTCAACACAGGAGAAAGGAACATGACTGAATTTAGTTTTGTTCCATCCATTCTGTTAAACGTCAAATGAATTTCAACTGTAAAAAACGTTCTATAATATGTTGATTGCTACCACAAAATTTGGTTCTCAGGACCCAGAATGAGGAAATTTGCTGAGAAAACACTAATAAGTTGATCAACATGCACGATAATATTCATCCCTGTTCGGATTTTCACCCAAAGTTAATGTAAAATGCTTCCACTAATGAGATGTATCTGTCCTAACGTCTTTTATTATCCGAAAGCATAATGTTTCAGGTTCTTTTTGTATATTTCATATAAAAACGCACAAACTGCGAACCAGAGCATCTGCAAAAGGCAAACCCAACATCTCATGTAGCACCATCTTAGAGAGATGCGATTCATTAGATTCATCACAGTAAAATGCAGAATAACATTATAATTGCTTTGAATATTACGTAAGCTTTGTAGTCAGGTTGCCATACGGATACTTCCGTACAGGTCCGCCCACTTTATGCATGATTTAAAAGCGAGAAGGCTTGACTATATGCAATCGATAGTCCTACTAAAGGTTTGTAAAGACCCCTTGTCGCTCCAACAAGGTTTTTCTTCAGCCATAAGTTCTGAATTGAAGCGTTTTTAGGGGTGCCAGAACAGTGAAATCTGACCTTATCTAATACTATCAAGCGTTATCCCGCTGCTGGCTGGAAAGAGCATACAAAGTTGTATATTTCTATCCGCAAATGAGATTTTCTCTTCTGACATTAGGAAAGAATTTTTGACTGGAGGACCTTAACTGCATTAGCAGATATCACTCGTTTTATAGCGTGCTGGACGAGCTCAAAACCCAACAA